TGATAAAAATTGTTTGTGAATATTAATAATAAGAAAAGTAATGCTTTATTCCTTCTCGTTGTACGAAAAACAAAAAAAAAACAGATCATTTATCCAGAACTAATATTAAAAAAAAAAATTCTTAATTACAAATACGAATGTTCAATTAAAAGAAAAGATCAGCATTCAATGTCTATAAAACACGTGGTCTTGTGTATGATGACGTTGTATGTTTAAAAAATCCCATTTCATTGAGAACAATTTTAAGTAAAAATAAATGAAAAATTATAATCAAGAATGCTAATATTATCCAAAAAATGATTGGTAAACCACCAAGTTTATGACCATGTCGATGTAAAGCAAGAACATCATGTGAATAAGGAGGAGCTAAATAAATCAAACAAAAAAAAAAGAATATATATGTAATCTTGCACTACATGTATCCTATTCTATAGTCGTCTTTCAAAAAAAACAAACATGATTCTCATACCTATTTCAACTTTTTTAACATGTAATGTATCTTTTAATTCTGTCATATATTTAAAATCTTCAGTAACATAAAGTATTGCAGTCGATGGACTAGTCATTTTAACAGGAAATCGAACAGGTTTTGTACTATATAGAATAAATAAATAAATATGTGAATTAGTTATATTAAAAATTATTTTTTCAAAATAGAAAACCTAAGTTTTGGTGGTGTATCTAAACAACCTCCATCACATGCATATGCTTGACCATTTTCATTATCAATTGATACATCAATAACAGCACGATTATCATGTTCAACTGTTATACTTATATTTAATAAATATTGTTTACCAAAATGAATTGAACGAAAAAACATATCACGATAAAGTTCTTTTGGATCTAAATGCATTTCAAGATGATGATTATGAAAACGTATACCACCAATTGAAAGTAACATTGATTGAAGAATACCATTGACACCTATTATATTAACAAAAAAAACAAAAGAATTTTTTTTGAATTATTCAAGTAAAAATTTAATAAGAACATACCACTACGCATTAGAGTTAAACAACCTCTTTTTAATAATGTTGAACGCCAAAGATTAGATAATTGAGAAACAGCTAAATCATCACCTGGTGATCGCCATAATCGAGGACCAATTCTATACAAAAAAAAAAAAGAAATAATATCTTGAAATTTTCTTTTTGTCTATATGAGAATGTTCCGATGATTCAATGCAGAAGTCTAACTTAAAACTTAATGATATGGGAGTTTTACTTGACTGAGAGACGTCGTGTGAATTTGAATTCTTCAAGTACTAGCGTCATGAACGCGGAACACTTTTTACAGCATTTGAAGTTTTGAATAACTTGTGAATGTGGAACGATATCGAGATGCGGTTTTTGCTCTCATATAGAAGACATTTCGATACATATATTTCACTAAGAATCATAACACTAATAAAGTCATTCAGATGGTGAATTTTAATCTCTACGATTCCTAGTTTGTCTCATGGCATTTATTACTACTGACACAGTCGCTAGATTTTAGGATTCTAGATATAATGTTTTACTCGCATTTTTCTAGTCGCTAATATTATATCAAAAAAGTATATAAGAGTAATTGAATTTCAGATATCTTGATCTTTTTATCATCGAACTATAATTGTGCATTAGATCTATTTAGCTATTTCAAGCCTCTTATTGACCTGTGTTACGATATATTAGTCGGAGTCCAGTCTGCATAAGTCTATCTAATAATAAAGCCCAAATGCTTAACCGTCCTCCCACTTTGGAAGTACAATGAAATATTTTGGCTTTAGGGGGAGAGTGACTTATGTAAGCTGGACTCAAGCTAATATACCGTAACACAGGTTGATACGAGACTTGAAATAGCTAAACAGATCTGATGTACAGTTATAGTTTAGTCTGGATAGTCAGCTGAAGTACAGCATTTTCGCTTTTTCCTCCTTGTCAAGGACAATATTCTGTTTGTAAAAGAGCCTTCTATATGAATTTTTTTGAGCGTATTATTTCAGTATATACTTGCAAATGAATGTATTTCATCTTGAACTAATCTTCGAAACAATTTTGATGAAAGAAAAAAAAAAACAAAATTAGCAAGGGAATATAAAAGTTACTTCCTCTTTCGATCGTATTTGTAATCAATCAGAGTTCTATTCATTACTAATAGGAAACAAGTGTCGTGGGAGTGATCATCATTTCCAAATAAGGAAACCACTTTTTTTTTAAACTAATGATCCTGCTAGTAATTTATGCTAAGTCTGATGATTATTTTATTTTTAATAAATCATCAATTGAAACAGAATGAAATTCTTTGAAGAATTAACTTACAATGTTGAATGGCTTTCAAAACATCCATCAATTTGAAAAAGACTTTGATTAAGTTCATTTTTTTTCGTTTCATCTAAGTTTAAATCATAAAGAGGTGAAGGTGTTGAACATAAAACATAATAAATTGTTCGATTAATAACATCACCATTCATAACTGATGGTGCTAATGAATGACTTATTGAAAAACCACTTTGCCATATTGATGACCATGTATCAATATGTTCTTTTAAGAGTTCTTTAAATGATATTGATAAAGCTTCAGATAGATCATCTTTTGCTTGTTTTTCCAATGTTTTTTGCCATTGTTTACGATATGTTTGATTACGTAATAAATCATCAAGAATAGATGGTGAATATTTAATTACAGTTAAAATTATTTGTTTATTTTGACTATAAAAAATAAATAAATAGAAGAATAACAAAATAGAAAACGAAAGATAAGATTTCATTGAATTTAAAAGTACCTATTAGGTTTAATATGAGTACTTGAAATTATTTTCTTAGTTAAGATAACACAAATACTTGAATTATGTTGTCGAGTTATTATTTGATATGTAGTCATTAGATATGTATCTTTTGTTGAATCAATTTGAAGTTCTTGTATATCAAGTTGTTTTATATCATTTCCTGATGTTTGTGTTTTTTGTTGAAAATCAAGATCTAATGTTTGATCACTTGGATTTATAATATCTATTTCTTGAATAATTAATGATGAACGATATCGATGTGCATATAACGTATGTGTTACATAAGCTGAATGTACTTCACTAATTTGAAAACATTGTAGACGTCTAACAAGACCATGATTCATTTGAATAATTGTTGCACTTGAATCTTCCCATATTTTAGATGAAATTTGAATAATAGGAGAATAACCACTAGAAATAAATGAAGTACCAGGATCAAATATTAATTGAATATGAGATTGTGTTGATAAAGATAAACCAATATAACCATTGCCTGAAATAGAATATAATATTATTATTTTATTGAAAGAAACTATTGAATAGATCATAGAAAAGAGAAACTTCAATTTGTAATTAATTTCAAAGTGTAACAAAATTGATGATAGAAAACAGATAAATAATAGTCGGAAAAAATTTAGCGATCTTTTTCTTCATTCAAAAAATCTTATGAAAAAACTAATTTTTGATATAAATCTATGAACGAAATCACATTCTGTTATTTTTCTATTCGTGATAATTATTTGTAGACATATTGCAGAGATAAACATGCACCGAAGATTTTCGAAGGATATTTTGACACTTTATTCATGTCAACTAGACAATGAATTCGTATGAAAACTGCCAGAGTTTTCGGACGTAACTTCACCAAGTTAACTTTTCTTTTAGAGATATTTATCTATTCAAATAAAAATGGAAGCCAAAATCATCAACTTAGGATATCATGTATCTGTTCTAAGGTTTAGAATTCTCCGGGATGGAAACTCAGAATGTATTTCACCCTATGAAAGTCTCGAATAATCTTTCAAAACCTAGAATTTCATTATTATCTTGCATTAAGCGAGATGTTCATGCAGCTATATCTCTCTTTTCATATGAGACTCTTATATGTTTCGAGTTCCTAAGAGTGTAACTTAGGAGTTTGAGATTCATGTCCGTTTAATATGAATCTGATTGTGTCCCTTGAATAAATATAAGTAATGCATACTTTTAGTCATAAGACTAACCTGTAAATGGTAAACTAACAATTTCTCCAAACTGAATCGGTTCATGATTAATAATAATGTTCATATCCGCTACATCACTAGAAAATTGTTCTAATTTTGTTTGAAGGCATTTATTATAATGGACTAATTAATCAACAAAAAAAAAGAAATAATAAATTAAATATATTTTATTATCAAATGCTTACCATTCGTATAGTTACTTCGATGAGGCATCCATTTTGATAGAAGATAAAAAATAATCGTAATTCCAAGAATTAATAGAAAAAATGTTCGTCTAGATCTTAATTTAAAAAAAGACACAATAAATAAACAAACAAAAATTCTTTTCAAAATGAAAGAATTTTGATTTCATCAACTAACTTATATATTCCAAATCGATCTTTTATTTGTTGTGTAATTAATCGTATATTCAATATTATTAAATCTGCCATTGAATATGCCATCAAAACACATGTTTTTTTGTCCTTTTCAAAACAATCAAAACCTATATAAATAAATATTAATCAACATTGATGAATAAATATATATTGACTTATTACTTACTTTTTTTTTCAAACAATGATATAAAATATCATAGTAACGATGAAAAGTGTTTTAATATATTCCTAAATCATTGAAAAAAAAGAAATAAATTAATTATAACACACTTTTATATCGATTTTCATGACAAAACAAAATCAATAGATGAAAAATCTAATAGATTTTTAATTGGTTATAATATTTAACCATTACCGACAGTCAATTAGTGACATCTTAAAGTGTAGCTTTTTTTGTTTATCCTTTTTAATATTTCAAATAATCTAATTTATTTCATTTTTCTATTAAAAAAAAATATAAAATAAAAATTTAGATTTTGATACAAACAAAAGAACATTGTGAAGTCTTAAAGAAAATATAATCATTCCAAGGAGAGTCTTTGTTATTCAAATCTCGTTTATTTTTATCTCCTTTACCTCAATCATTATTTATTATGCTTTATTCTTCTTATCACTTTTATTCTAGAAATAATGGATTTAAGTAAAATTAATCTAAGTAGTTATTTACCAACAATGCCATATAAAGTTCGAGAATTATTTGATAAAGCAACAAATATTGTTATGAATTATACGGAAACTGAAACAAAAGTTGTTGAAGCAACAAATGATGAATCTTGGGGACCAGCAGGAAAATTATTACAAGATCTTTCTCAATTATCTTATTCACATGAACATTATAATGAAGTAAAGTTAAAACTTCAAAAATTTAATTTTTTATTGTTTTGTTTATTTTAGTTAATGGGAATGCTTTGGAAACGATGTTTTACTCAAGATAAAAAATATTGGAGACGAACATATAAAGTATGTTTACTTTTATCTAAAAAAAGTCAGTTCGAGACTGATGAGAATCTTATTTTTCTTTTGTAAATATTGCATTGAAATGTAAAAGAAAAGTACAACTAGTAATATTATTGCTATCGTCCAATACACTTCGAAGTTTTTTTTTAATATTAATATTCGATTCAGTTTCACGATACTTTAATAGATATGAACCAAGAGTAGCTCTTACAAATTTAATAATGACAATGTGTTGCCGGTAGAGCCCAGGTCCATCCCGACGACTTCACTTTCTGAAGTGTTTGATTATTATACTATGTGTCTGCACTAAAACAGTAAGACTCATAGGTATGAATCTTTCTAGGATTATGCTTGTTATATTGAGACCAAATTACAGGTGAGCAATGGGCACAAAATTGAAGAAAAAGTTAAGGCCATGGTTCTATTCAGTATGAGGACGGAGGAAGGGCGCAATTCCCTCGTAGATAAGATAGGCCCTTCTGGAATTTAAACTAGTCCTTCTAGACGTAGCTTATTTAATGAGAAGGAATTTTGTCATTCGGCCTTGAAATACAATAGATTTAATCAGAATGCATTTGTACTATCAATGATGTGTAACTGTGTGACTTAATTATTTTCTTGTCTTTTTCAGTCACTTCTTGTATTAACATATTTAATAAAAAATGGCAATGAAAGAGTGATTAAATCCGCCCGTGAACATCTTTATGATTTGAGAAGTTTAGAAAATTTTTCTTATCATGATGAAAATGGCAAAGATCAAGGAATTAATAGTAAACGAAATGATTTATTTTTTTGTATGATTTGATTTGATTTTTTTTTAAATTCTAGTACGTCATAAAGTAAAAGAATTAATTGAATTTATTCAAGATGATGATCGAATTCGAGATGAACGTAAAAAAGCTAAAGCTAATCGAGATAAATATATTGGTATGAGTAATGAATCATCATCGTATCGTTATAGTAAGAAACGTTTTCATTTTTTTTTTTTTGGATCTTAAGTTTTAAAATCTTTTATTGATTTATAAATAATTTAGATGATCAATGGAATAATTATGATGAATCAAATTCAACAAAAACAAAAGATTTCGTATCTAATCCATCGGAAGATTATTCATTAGATAAAAAGTAAATTTTATTAAAATTTGCTATGATGATTATTTTCATGCGCGTCATCTGAATGTTTATATGATGATTGCATTTTTCTATCCATTCATTATAATCTGAGCAAATTTTAACAAAATTTTCAAATATTTTTTTATTTTTTTGTTTATTCTTTAGTAATGACAATGATCAAAATGTTAAATCAACATTAAAAAAAGATCAAAATAAAATACAGGTAAATTGAATGAAAGTTCTTTCCTAATGGCAAATCTTGAAAACATTAGAAAATGATTGAATGTTCGTAGTGTTATGAATTTTGCCAAAAGAAATTTTTTTTTGTTTTTGATCTTCAACCCTACGCAAGTGGAATTAAAATACGCTTGATGTTTCTTTATTTGATCATACAAATTGAATGTTCTTTCTTTTTTTTATGTTTAGGAGAACAATACAAATTCATCAATTGAAAATCCAGTAAGTTATTCGATTTCATTCTTTATTATGATAGAGATTAAAGTAATAATCTTATTGAATACATGATTGTTAATTTTAATCAAACTATCAAAAAGAAATCTATTTATCAGATGTAGACAGCAATTTAACATATACAAAATTGTTAAAATCGTTTGCACAAGCTGATACAAATTTCCAGTGTTGAATTCTATAAGTGGCATAATTATGAAAGGCAAACTGTTAGAACAATCCCTACGAGTAAAGTCTGTTGTATCCAAAATTTTCAGACTTGGGTCCGATCGGTTTTATCCGTGGAGCTAAAATGTAAAAGTACGATGCAACTGTTGTTCATAACCACATGCAGTTTGTTTTATTCTATCTGGGCTAGAACACACTTTATCTTTCAGAAATGCAATAAGGAAGTAGCTCATTTATCGTCTTTGATTGTACATCAACGTCTGTAGAAGGAACAGAGAGGTTCAAACTCTTACCTATACACTTCAATACTTAGCTTAAATAGTGTTTCACAAAATAGGTTGTAAGGTGAACTTAACTAAGTGAAACTTTTTTAGTAACTATGTACATATTGTAGACTATAACGAGCTATAAATATTCTACAGAAATACTACATTTTTAGACGAATGCCATCGTTCTTATCAAGCAGACTGATTTTCGCATTTTGACTCGAAACTTGTACATACTACTTGTCTGGTGAGAGCCATACCATTGTGTTTAAAATTATCGTGAAAAATGCGCTATTTGCTTAGGAATAAGATAAGGATTCGAAATTATTTATGGTTTCTTGAGGTTTGCAAGATGCATGTAGTCCCGATTCAAAAATTATTAACTAGTTAGTGAATGTCTCTATTGAGCTCTTATGTGGTTACGTCATGAGATTGTGTAACAAACTAAAGAAAACGATTAGTTGTTGATATTACTAAAGAAAATCTTTTTTGATCAAATTTAGCCTTCTATTGATAACAAAAAAACATCATCAACAAGTGAAGAACCAATTGTTAATTTATTAGGTGATGACATCGAATTTACACCTTATGTACAAGCTTCAAAAGATGTTGATTTTGGTCAATTTCAAGAAGCAGTATCTCCAATTTCTCCGTATGTTTTTTTTTTCTTGCGATTTTAATTTCAAACAAAAGCATAAAATTCATATAAATTATCTAGAGTTCAATCAACACAATCTTCATCATCAATGACATTCGATCCATTTACATCATTTGAAACATCAACAAATCTTTTTCAACCAACTTCATTTCCATTTAATCAACAACAATCATTTATAAATTCATCTGTATTTCAACAACAATCAAATATAACTTCATCGAATGTAAGTCTAATAAATGATTAATTTTATTCAGAAAAAAGAACAAAGAATTTAAGAGAAAAATAAAAATTTCTCTAGATTAATTTTCCTCAACAATACCCATCTACCGTCGTAGAGAAACAGGTATTCACATTAAAATTAAATTCTACATCTGCTTCATATTCACGCTATTCTTAATTTCTTATTTACTAATCGAATTTTATACTAAAATATATCTTATGATGAACTGCCGCTTTTGCCTTTCGTTGTATACTAGCTTGAATAGACTTCAAGATATATCTTTTGACCACCGTTTTCTTATGAATAGTTCAAAAACGCAATGAATTATATTTCAATTAGTATGAAAGAAATATAACACTAACCATTAACTACTAAATAAGAAATTCTCATTTTAGATAATTTAGATCTTATTAGTATTTTAATCATGAGTATCATACTGACACTTGTTTTAGAGTCCAATGAAATCTGGTATTATTTCAACCGATCTATCGCTCAGTTTCATGAACAGATCAGTTCCTGAATAATTGTCTATCATTAATGTCGAGTGAAAGAAAATTGTTTATTTGTTGATAGAACATGTGTAAAACAAACGAAATTAGATACAGCAAAAATCGATGAAATAATCTATTTAATGATTTCTGTCGATAGGATAGGGTTGACTTCTATTACATTTGGAAGATCATAGTCTTGATATCGAGTTTTTATTTTGTAGGAATGAATTAGAAAAATAAAGGCAATGAGTTAATGTAAGATTAGTTTTTTTTTGTGGCACGTCTAAGTGTATTTGATTATAAATTGAATAGATTAATTCAATTTTTTTTTCTATGATTTTCTTTTTAGAATATATGGTCATCGGCAGCAGGAAAATTAGATATATCATTAAATAATTTAATTCCATATACACGTGGTAATCAACAGAAAACAACATTAACATTGAATCAATTAACAAGTCCAACAGATTCAAATAAATCTGATTTTTCATTATTAAATACAAATACTCAATCAAAATTTTCTACTTTGAACAAAAAATAATAAAATTTTCTCATTTTTATTGTTTTTTATTTTTAAATTTTTACATCTCTTGTGAAGAATGATTCAGGAAGCAAATAATTGAATTAAATGAGAATATATATATATATATTGTACAAAGCTTAGACATTTATTTTTAGTAATTTATCTTGATTGACTTATTCTTATAGTGATCTGCAATTTTTTCGTTTTATTTATATTTGTGCACAAATTCAAACAGTGCAATTTTTGTTTTCTCATTATATTCATTTTTTATCTCACATATTTATATATGTATCTTTTGAATTTATTTATTTAATTAATTGTTAAATATAATTTTTTGTTTTGTATTCAAATAAAAAAAAAAAAAAGAAGAAAATTTTTATTAAAATACATATATAAATGAAATAGAAAGATAAGATTTTGTAAAAATTCAAAAAAGACGAAAATAACGATCAGTTAAAATCATATCATCGACAAATCTAAGATTAAATCAATAATAGAAGAAGTTAATCTAAACAAAACAGTATATATTATACTTAGTCATTTCGGATTGAGCATGAACATGATGTTTTTCATGAGTCCATGGTTCATTTACTTTTAATGGTGCATCTTTTGACCACCAACCAACTGATAAGAAAAAACTTTAATAAAATTATTTTTATTCTCTAATGATTACTTTCGTGAGCTGTTGTTAATGGTTGTCGTGTAATATGATTAGGATCTTGATCTCCACGTACATGCATTGTACGTAATGTATGATAATTTCTAACAATTAAATAAGTTTAGTATTTTTGATATATTAAAAAAATAAAACTTACAAATTTGATATAGCTGGTGATGACCATTCTCGTGATTGTATATTGCCAGTTACTTCACGAGCTAATTGTTTTTCGGCTGGACTTCGATCTTGACCTCCAGTTGGAACTTGTCGTAATTCATTCGAATCAATCTGTTTATTGATTGGTTCAAGACGTTGCATAGATTTAAATCGATTATCATGACCGAGCAATGTTAAATTAAAAAATGACATTTTCAATCTAAAATATTCGATATCATAATAAAAGATAAATGAATTGATCGATCATAATAACAAAATAAAGGTAAATTTAAGTCTAATTCTAGAATTATGAATTCATCTTTTGATTGTATTTTATTTATTTTTAAAATTAATAGAAAATTCATTGGTATGAAAATGAAAAACTATCTGTTAATGTAAAATGAATACAATCGAAAGGTTTCATTTGTAATTGTATTTTGATTATTATTTTAACAAAACTAACAATATCATAGCAAATTTTATTTCATTCAAATAAAAATGCAAAAAAAAAAGTCAAAATAAAACATGTAAAAATTACGTTGCTATGAGCGTTTTTTTTCTTTATTTCATATAAATTTTCTTTTGTTCTTTTTTTTTTCTACTATATATATTGAGAGATGAAATGAAAGAACAAAATGTCGATTGTGTCTCTATCATTTCGGTCAAGGATAAAGTCTTAAATAATGAAAATAAAATATCAGATCACTGGTAATAAAAGACCACATCTTTAAAAAAAAACAGTTTAAAATCATTTCAAAACTTGTTTTTAAGCTCATATTTGACTGAGATATTATTTCTCTACAAAATAGCATATCTTGTTTTTTCAAACATATTCCTCTTGGCGATGAAAAATTCAAAAGACTAACACCTATTCAGTCATCTGCACGCGACTTATTATTTTCTTTGGGCTTTGATCGGTTTCTGAAAACTTGATCTTTTCGATGTTCTTGGCATTGTCACCCAGTAGAAGACGATTTTATTATTATATAAAGCTATGCTTTTTGAAAGTCATCTATATCTTGTACAACGTTGATTTTCATCTTATTGAATGCAAAATTCAATTCTGAACTAAATAAACCCATCTCTCAGACACATACACAATAAAATATTCCTGAGTTTTTAAATATTGTTATTATGTTTCATGTACAAAGTAAAAGTACGAAAAATTGAATTTCAATTTATCACAAATTGATGTTGGAATCTCTTCAGCTGCCTCTTTTCGCTTGTAAATACTATATAGTGTTCTAATAAAAGTCTCGAAAGAATTTGGAGATCATATTTTCGAATTGTGATCTAAAACTTTGTGCATATAGAGCACTCAATTAGACTAGCCTCCATGAAAAAATTTAGAAGTTTTTAAAAACATGTTTATTGTATATACTATCCATAGAAAAGAGTCTATATCTTGAGGAGATTTTGCTGAAAAATTTGTGAAAACTTTTATAGGAGCTAGTCTAGTTGAGTTCTCTGGTGTTTTTTTTACAAAGATTCAAGTCAAAATTTGAAAATACGATTTGTACAAAAACTTGTGTCTCTGAAAAAAATTCCATAGTTTTGTCAAATATCAATAAAAACTAAAATCCTTTTAGAGTTTTTATTGTAACACTAGGTGGTAAATTTACATAAAAAATCATTGAGATCAGAAGAGGTTTTCTCCTGAGCTGTTTGACGTAGTTGTTTATGATCTTTAACATATTTGAGTTCTTAGTTTTTTTTTTCATATTCATTAATGATCGAACTAATTTCAACACTTCGATCATCATTCGAAACTATCATAATTATCAAAATTTGAATATTCATCGTTATAAAGAAGTGCACAATGTTATTCGTCAATATTAAAAATATTCATTCAATGTATATCATTACTTATACAAATCATATCTAATATTATTCATTGACTCCTTCGCACACTATTTTTTTGCTCTTTGTTTTTGTCACACTTTTACTTTAGCTGAAAATAGCTTTTTTTCTACTTTTTTGTAATTTTTATGCTTCAATAAACACGATTGAGTAATATGCTAAAAATAAAGCTTAAAACGATTTAAGTGCAAAACTTTTACAAGATCAAAGTCTTCTATTATAATCTCAAACATTCTACTAAAAAATATTTATTTTAAAGGTTTGGAAAAGATACAGAGTTTTCCATGATATATTATAACATATTTTCAACTTCCAGCCAAATATTTATCAAGAAATTTTCCTAGTTTTTGGCTATTACTGATAGACAATTAAGTACATGTTCATCTTTTGAATATTATACCAACAAGGAACATGCTTTTTGAAAAACAAAGTAGACTATTTTGTAGAAAAATCAGTTCTCTATTGAATGAAATTCATAACAGATGTTAAATTAATTCACTGAAAGAAATAAAAGGAAGCAATTTTTCATGACAATAATAATAATGAGATACATATATTTTATTTGAAAATATTTTTATACATTTAATAATAAACACATACTAATAACATTTATGATAAATGCTTAAATAAATAAATAAATAAATAAAATAAATCAATGATACACATGCAATATTTTGTATCTGAACAATATAAATAAATATACAATAAAATGACTAGTAATAATAAGAGATTAAAAACATTAAATGAGATTTATTATCTTGTAGAAATTATGGATATAAAAGTGGAGTGACCACAGTACCATTTTCATCTATTTCTTCAGGAGCTAAATATAGAAAATAATATTAACAAGAATTATTTATTAACTAATAATAATTTCATACTTGATTTTCGTTCTTTGCTTGCACTATTAATATGATTAGTTGTCGGAACTCCACAACAGAAAAAACAAATTAATATTGAAGATATAGCAGACGAAATAATTATCAATAAAACAAAAAAAAGAATAACTTTCGAACGATATGATAATGGTTCATGATGATGACCTAGAAAATCATTGAATATTTCATTATTAATATATATATTAATTCACTTACTATATTCACAATATGCTTCATCAACATTATTCGGACAATTTCTATAACGATCACAAACAAGACTTTGATCAATACAATAAACATCCGAAAAACAATCAAATGCACATTTTGTATATGTTCCTAGAAATATTAATTTACATAAAAAAAAACCAACAAAAAATTTTTTTTAATTTATAAAAATACTTGTTTTTAGTTTTAATGGTGTAAGAATCATTGAAAATTTTGATAATGGTAATTTTTCTGTTCGAATATATGTAATTGTTAATTGTTCAGTATCAAAATAATATTCACTACCATTTTTTGTATTACAATCAATTAGTATCTAAAATAATAATTAATTAAGAAGAGAAATTTAAATTTTTCAATTATATTACCATTTCACCTGATTCAGCTTTTACAGTTACATTTTCTGTCAAACATAATGGTGGTATGACTAGATGAAGATAAAATTTTGTTGATATAGAAAGATTAGGCATTAATGATCCATTTTGAAAAGTTGGTAAACAACAACTTTGTATATTTAATATACATGTACCAATCCATGGTGTTCTAGATAATAATAACAACAAAAAAAAAAACATCGAACATATGAAAAAAAACATTTTTGACGAACCCAGCATAACGAACTATTCCTGCATCGGGTGTAAATTTATTATTTGGATTACAATATGGTCCATACGTATTTTCAAGATTGACTAAAACAAAACAAACTTTTTTTTAAGAGCTTATTCTTCAATAAATAGATTTAGCTTACAGTATGTTACTTTAGCAAATGAACATGATAAAAACATTAGAAGCAAAATATTAATTAGTGATAACATCTGAAAAGTCGCGAAAAAATGTTTTTTAAATATATTGTATACATTAATTTTATTCATAAAATTTTGTTTTTCGTGAATTTTAATGACAACATTTAACACATATTAATGCTTTTAGCAACTCAAATTAACGATAGTAATGTCGAAACTCATAGATTTTCGCTGGGAACTAGTCGAAAGATAGTCAAAACTTGGAATCATAAATCTGATAGTTAGCTCTATCTATTTCAACAAGAAAAAAATCGAAAATTGATCGAACTTAAAAGCAGTATTTCGTTGACAAAAAAAAAATCCGAAGATATTTCAGTTCGAAATACTGCTTCCCACATTCTACAATTTTTCCGATTGAATACAATGATTGTCTGATATTTTTTTTTCGATTAGTTCCAGCAAAATTCGATTGTTTCTGAAGCTCAAATCATCAAGCTGAGATTGCAGTGAAGAAAAAAAAAACATAATCTGACACAAGTGAACAATAAGCAAAGGAATTACAACGGAAAAAAAAGGAGATCTTTGTTTATAACTATTTCATATCTGACTTGATGATTTATTCCAAACGAGGATAAATTGGTTTAGTTGAATCAATGATTAATGGTGCAGGTTCAATACGTTGTTGAGATGAGACTTCTACAGCACCTGTCGATGCTGTAAGTTCTTTCATTAAAACAGCATCTTCACCAGTTGTTCTAGTAATGTCTTCTAAAATTCAAATTCTTTAATAGATTAAATAAAAATTATAAATGATAACTAACTTTGACTAGATTTATTTCCTTGGCTAGAACGAAAACGTCGAATTATTCGATTAAATGCTGCTCGACAACAACAGCATATACAAACTTAAAAATAAAATAATTAAAAATAACATCTTTTTCTTCATTATTTTACCTGTTGATAAAACACAAATAAGAAATAAAACTGCCAATATTATTAGACAAAATGCAATTATTGAAAAACCATTGTCAGATGTAACTAAACAAATAAAAACTTTTTCATTATACATATTATAAAATTATTGATACAGTAGAAGATTTCCCTTCTGAAAATTGAATTGTTTTAAAAAATAAGTTCTCCATCTTATTGGGTTTGTTTCTTACGAGGAAAGATCACTTAGTCGAAATCTAATGGATCATAAGTTATTGAGCATGCTAATTACAAATATTAACGTGATTTTTGCTGCTAGGTCTTAGAACATTCAGTTTTCTCGTGAACCAATTTTTTATAGCGAAAAATGTTTTTTTTTTTTTTTGTCAAAACACAGAACGAGCGGGAGGCATAAAACGTTTACAATGTTTAGAGACACATAATACACTTTGAAGCTCGTCGGAACACTCGAAATTATAATTTTTTGACGTCTGATAATGGAAAAGACTGAAGAATATGCCTATAGGCGATATCTCTATTCCACACCAACGTTCTTTGTCAGTGACAGGTGAAGTGAAATCTATAATTAAATCCAACAGGCATTTTACAATATTAACAGGATTCATGATTACCTAACAACCCGTAAGAAGTGAAATAATAGAAAAATAATTAATACTAAAAAAAGTACAAAATAATCCATTTCCTGATAATTATAAACTGATTTTATTAGAAGAATGAAAGAATAGATTATAATAATATGGCTTAAAATAGATCCAAAATTGAATAGAAAATTTGAAAATGAGCCGAGCAACATACGCAAGAAGGAAAAAACAGAATAAAACCATATAGAATGTAAAAATATTGAAAGAAAAGAGTGCAAAAATAATAGAATTTTAAATCTTTTTAATCTTCTATGAGGAACTACATCAGAGGATTTTCTTGTTAATTATGACTGATAAGTTAAAATACGAAGATCTTCAATTCTTCTAATGTGTCGCAAATTTTAGAACTAAATACATACCATGACAATTATGTTCATCATCTCCACTTGGACATTCAGATCGTCCATTACATTTCAATGTTCTATCAATACATGAATTAGGATAATCTTTAGGACATTGAAAAAAAATATCATCATCAAGACAAGGTTCTAAAATAAAAACAAAATTTCAAAATTAAATCTTTTAAAAAACAAAACGAAATTACTTTTAGCTAATGCAACAACTTGTACAAGTGTTGTCTTTTTTATTTCTGACATTTTTAGATTTCTTTTAAATGTTAAACTAATTGAACTACAAGGCATTGTAATTTTATTTGCACTTGTATGACATGTAAATTGTACTGGTAATGGTTTTGTCTAGTAAAGTCAAAGATAATAAAAGAAAAATAAATTAAAGAAAATATTTACTTGATTAATTAAAGTAGCATCAGGAAGACAATCAACTATAAGAGTTGATGAACAGTCCATTTCTTGTGATAGAAATAAACCAAATCCATTTTGCATATTTCGTAACCAAGGATTGGTTATATGTACGGAACAATTATCTTTTCCATAAGCAATTCGAGATGAAAATTTTACTAGAATAGCATATTTTTTTTCTATTGTACTATTATTCTCATTTGACCAACAAGCATCATCAGAATCAATTGTAACTAAAATTAATATTAAAAAAAAATGTTATTTTTCTATAAGATAAATAAATCAAATTTACCATCATTATATGACAATGATAAAATTGTCGGTATAAAAACAATAAAAAAAATAAATTTCATATTGTTATATCTAAAAAATAAAAAAAAAAAAAAGAAAGATTTATTTAATTTTTTTTTCCACATACACACAAAACAATCCATTCGAAAGATACATGAATTTAATAACCAAGAGCATAAAAGATAAATAAAATTATCATTGTATAGAAATCTATACTCACTAGAAATATCAAGATTGAAAACAATACAGAAAGAAAATAAAGAAAACGAAATAATCTTCCGATTTTTGATCTTTACAGATATATAAAGAATAATAAGAATAATTAAATGTTTTTTATATAAATACAATAATAGTATAGCAATACACAAAAAGAAAAAAAAAATATTTGAAAGAAAAAAACATCACTGCAAGAAAAAAAAACAATTTTTCTTTTTTTTTTTTTCGAATAAAATATACAAATAAACAAAAGAAAAATTATAACCGGTTCATACACACTGTATATTTATTTTTTGTCTAATAATATGTATACATTTGTTTTTCTTGAATAATCTCGAATTGTCATAAATATTGTATTAAAATGGAAAAACTTCGATTATGAAGATTAATGTGTATTTCTAGAAAAATAATTTCTTGGCATTATATTTCCATCAGTTGAATCTGAATTAAGATCAATTCCATTTGTTCCTATTACATTAGAAAAATCAATCATTGATTCATTTGATGAAAGACATGTTGTTGAATGAAATCTTTTTGTTTCAGATAAAATAGCACGTAATTGTGTATTTTCACGTTCAGCATGAGATAATTTTTCACTTAATTGTTTTATTTGTTGTTTACATTGTTCTAAAGTTCCTTCAAGTTGTTCAATATGTTGTCGACGACGTTCACGACAACGTCTTGCTGCTTCACGATTACTATCACGTATTTGTTTTTTACGTTGATCATCGGATAAAATACTATTATTATTATTATTATTATTGATATTATTGTCATTTTTTGTTGATGATAATGGAATTAATGAATTCGAATGTAGAGTATTTGCTTGTATTGGAGTTGTTTTGTGTCGTTTTATGCCAGATAATTGATGACTTGATGTGACTTCATTTATAGCCGGTTGTTGAGAAATAAGAACGGAATTAGTTTTTGCCATTGATCCACCTAAATATAAGCAAAATTATGTCATAGAAAGATAAAATAGCTTAATTTAATTACCAATAATAGTCTGTTGAAATGTTCTTTTATTTGTGGGTGTCATTGGTTGTTGTTTAATCATTGTTGGATGTACTCCATTTTGATCTGATTTTGATTGTATTGTATAAGATGGTTTTAAACCATTATCTAATTGTGGATTTGAATCAATCGGATGTATTAATAATGGTAAATCATGTAAAGGTTGAAAATCAGTATTACTATATGATTGACGATCATCATCCATTAAGCCTACATCATCACTATCAGTTCTTGGTGATTGAGAAAAAAGATTATTTGTAATTGATGTTGGTGATGTTGGTTCAGTACGAGACTGAGTTCTTTGAAGAAGTTTCTTTTTTGGTGCAACAACAACACCCATTGTATGTGATGATGATGTATCAAAATGATTATTACTATCACCAGTTATTATTGTTGTCGTTTCGCGTTCTGTATTGTCTTGAGTTGATTCTTTGGAAAATGATTCAATGACACTCATAACCTTAAATAGAAATATTAAAAAAAAAACCGATGAATCATAGGTGATGATTCATTTTACCTCTGCTGTTGAAGGTATCTCGGTAGATATGGCATCATCAGTGGTAGGAGGTACAGAAACATTTGGAAATGTCAAGACTCCAGCTTTTGCCATTTGTTGAAACAATGATTCAGTTGGTTTACGTCGTTGTGCAAAAGTTTGTTTGAGGTCATTTTCTATTTTCGATAATTTTATATCATTTGATGACATAGATAATGATTCATCATTTGTTGTTATTATAGACGATGAATTAGAACTTAAATCATTATTATCCTCAGTGTTTATATCAACTGTTGTAGATGCTTGTGAAATTTTATACATAATTGGATTTAAACTAATATTTGGTGTCATTAAAGATGGCGTATCTAATACACTTGATGAAAATTCTATATCCATACTGTGAGTTTGTATAAATAATAAGTATTACACTAGAGAAAACATAATTGTTTTGGAATTTTATTAATATAATAAAAACGAAATAAAAAAAAAAGCAAAATATCCCAACAAAAATTTCAAACGTGTAAATATGCAAAAAATGTTCTGTTTTTTAGCATAAAAAAAAAGAATTCGGTTAGTAGTTTCAATCGTTTTTTTTTGTTATCTTTTGGTATCTTACAAACAAATAAACAAATAAGTTTATGTATAGATTTGGAGAAAAAAACAACGCGTAGGAAGAATAAAAATGACCTAAATATATTATTGGGTATAATTAATGTTTTAAACCAGCAAAATTAATCTAAAATTTTCCTAAAAATAATGAATAGGATGAAGAATATAAATTATTAAAAATTTTTATCAAATAATAAATATATTTCAAATCAATAGATGTCGTTTTAGTTTCGGATCAATGCTTTCTTTGTAAGACATACATTTCAATATCTATAAACATATTCAAATATGATAATCATCAATGTTAACAGATTGTCAGATCTATAGCCCGATTTTACATAATTTACTTTTTGATCTTGCTATTCAGATCAATGATTTTGGTACATGGATCCATCAACTTCTGGCAAATTGTCGCCGTAAAACTTGAGAAAAATTCGGAAATCAATTCTTGCTTCCTAGGGCATACCATATTCCTAGGTCAAGAAGTTCGAACAGGTTCCGATAGGAAAACTTAACAAGTTAATGGAACTTGAAAGTAGTATTTCACATCGGAAACTTATCTGATTTTTTCAGTGACTTTACAACAGCCCTAGTGTAAAGCACGTTAATCCGTTACAAGTTTAACAGTTATCTTCGAATTTTTAACTATTTAATTAAAACTAATAATTCAAATGTTCAAGTTTGAAGCTTTATCAATAGCTTGACGATTTTCAGCTTCACATTGTGTCATATGTTTTTAAGATTTTCTACCCAGGTCGAAGAAGCATGCTCGTATATCGTCATATTTTCGCGTATTACATTGCTCTAAACTTTTTGATGTAACTTCTTACATAATTTAAGTGTTTACATGTTTTTTTTTTGACGATATGTCAAAACGCTCAATTAAGCCCTAGTATAAGAGATATACGAGACATTTGAGTTTTAGTTTTATATTTCTAAATCACTAGCATATCCCAGGAATGATATGTTGATACGTACAGAATCGGTACAATGTGACAAATACATAGATATGGCATCGGAAGCATGATCGATGCTCTTTTTCCTGCTTTCGCAGCACGCGCATCTGGCACGATGTTCTCCGTCTCTATGCTTACAGGTACGTTCTTGTTTCGTGGCATACATCTAGTTATATATGTCGAACTCGAATACTTATGACGAGTTTTACATGTATGAAGAAAATGTTGGTGCGTTCGACCGACATTTACATACAAGTCAAAACCATTCGCTGCGTAGGAAAACTTAGCGTCGGCATCAGTAAGTTCTATCTTGAATCGAAGCTACTTCTAGAAGAAGAATTTCGCACTTCTGTCAAAAAATTTCTTAATCTTTTTCATTGCTAAAGGTAGTGACATTCGTGACAATTTTAGACCAGTACAGTAGCTATCGAATTTCATAGAAACTCATACTAAGCTTTCAAAAACTAGACGAACTGATTTCTGCTTCTGAAGACAGCAAGAAGTTTAGTTAAATTTGGCGGTTGTATCCATCGAATAATTCATGATATCAGTACTATTTCTGTGGCAAAATTTTCAAAATATTTGTAAGTTAATCTATTATCAAAAAAAAGTTGATAAACTTCATTCATCTGGTTACTTCAAAAATTTTAGTCAATGGTTCTAATATTTCAATAACAACTAGACATATCGTAAGAAGTTACCAGGTTTTTCAATAGTTTTCAACACTGTTTTATTGTTGAAACAGTCCCATTAGAAAAAATCTTGACAACAGCCAAGTCAATTGTCGTGTGAAACGCGCAAAACTAAAGAAATAAATATTCTAAAACTCTTCCAATATTGGATAAAATTGAACTTTGATACCTTATCGAAAACGGCAGAAAGCTAACGTAACAGCTTTCAAAAGTAGGAAGACTACTTACCTTCCTTGGTTTTGGTTGATCCACTCCAGTATAATGATGAGTTTGAGAACAATGATCAAATCATAGTCGAATACATCTTATGATTTATAATGATTTTATTGTCGATAGGTTTAATCCTTATCTTTGTTATCTAATGTTCTCAAACAGACTCTCAACGTGCAACGGAGTCATTGGATAATGATCATGATAAATGTCTAAAGTAAATCGAAGAAGTTTAATATCATCATACAGTCTTCATAAAACACCAACTAATTCTAGTTGAATGATATTGAATCTATTGCTGATAAAAAATAAAGTCATCTTGTACTTTAGCAAATAATCAATGGTCGAATATATCTTGAAATCGATGATCAATTCATATTTCTCATGAAAATCTACTATAGAGTTTTTTAATTAATATGAAATTCAATTGAATATTTCAATATTTTCACTGTAGTAAATCATTCTTGTTTAATCATACAGATATTCTCAGACGCTAGACAGACATTCGATTATATACATTGCCTTGATATTAGTCTTTGAGATATAATTAGAGATATATTAAATAAAGCTCAACAAGAAAATTTCTAACTCGAAACAAAAAGAATTTTAAGATTGATTTCTTGTGCTTCAAGAACGCTATCTTAATGTGATCCATTGATTTTAGTATCGTGTAAAAAGACATGACTGATTTAATACACAATATTCAAAAACCCAGTATGGTAATCTAATCCAGATACATTACGTTAATTGGCAACAAATGAGTCAAAACGAGAAAAAAATTTGTCAAGTTAAATATTTATTTAAACTTTCTCGTGTTACTGAATAATTTGGTTAAGGACATTTTCTCTTGGTAGTTTAATTGTTTTGCATACTGCATCGGACTTTTTATGATTGTCTTAAATGGATTATTGTATAGTTATAGCTTATTAAGAAAGAATCTTAATCATATGGAAAATATTTCAAACAAATTTTATTCAAGTTCAACAACAATCAGAATTATAATCTAAATAATTTTAATTGTTTGGTTTTCTTTTTCGAACTCATGAATGATATTTTAAAAATGTGTGTCTGTGTTTCTTTTTTTAATAAAGAAATATGATGCTAGTTTAACATTTAACAATCTTTTCTTGCAAGATCTATTCAAATCAAGATCATTTGTTTAACTTCAATAGAGTATTAGATTTCATATGATTTCTTTCATCTATAACAGCAAATTTAAGTGAGTTGTTTTCGATCAATCTAATTGACTTCATAAGAAAGGTACATCAAGTAAGTAAAGGATTTCGTTTTCTATTAATAGTAAGCGATGATTATTGGAATATTTTTATAGTTTTTTTTTAATGTTTCAAATGAAACCAAACACAATAATAATGTACACTAACAACTTAGTTCTTATGTATCTGAAGAGAAATATGATAATGTTCATCAATTGGTGTAATAAATATTACGAATAACACAATAAAATCATAAATTTAAGCATCAATCAAGTATGTAACATAAAATTATAAGGTCAACTAATTAGTAAAATTCATTACTTAATACAAGTTATTAATAAACCAAAAAAAAACAACAATCATAAATAAAATCACATAGTAATAGGACGAAGTGCTGAAATCAATCTTGATACAAAAATCAATCGAAAGGAATCAAGTTGTTTTTTTTTATCTTTTGTTTGCAATTAAAATTAGGATACTGAAATTTGATCAGAGCAATACAAATCAAACTGAATAACTCTTGATGCGATCCTTTACACTGTTGAAAATGCATCGTAATACATTTATATGTTACCAATTGTTGGATGAATTTTTAAAATTTCGTTGGTTTAACTTATTTTCAGATCCCACATGTTGTTCATCCTAAAAATGTCATGGTTTTGTATTAACTTCCCGAGATGCAATAAAATACGATTTCAGGTACTACTATGAAGTGACGTGCAATAAAATGAAGATTCGTCGATGTATTTTTTAAAATGATAAATGAGAACAGAAAGAGAAGAAAAGAATAATATGAACAGCTGAAGTAGTTGACTGAGCATAAGATCAAGAAGTTTAACAGTACAGTAGAGATACCCACAATCAAGAAAAAGTTAATGAGAAGAATATGAGTGATAAAGCTAACACGTGTAATGAAAAGTGAATTATATCAAATACACATGAATAAGAGTACACACTGATATCGTTAACCCTTCTCTTCCTCTTAGAATAAAAGGTCACCTATAAGAGAAATTTCACAACGCGTAATAGCAGGCCTTGGGTTTTCCAAGTTTTTTTTTCAGAAATTCAGTGAATATCTGGAGCACCTTAAAACTTAGTTTTCTGGCACTTCGTTGCTATTAACGTCTATTTGAACATCAGAAAAGTTCTTCAAAAATCTAGCCGATTATAGAACGTCAACTTTGAACGAGTGATTTGAATTATCATAATAGAAAGCCATGGCTTTTTGAAGAGGAGAAAAAGAGTAGCTATTGCCAGTAATGCTATCATGTCTCACTTTTGCATTTTTTGAGGAATCGTTAGGAAAATTTATACTTCATTTCTTATAAACGGAGAATAACATAAAATTTAAAGTTTATTGCAACCTCCACAAAATTCAACAAGGTTCCAAATAATGAGGATCATCAACTGTTTATATTTTATGGAATTGATGTCAGTGGATTGCAGATGTATGAAGCCCTAGCAATGTTTAGCAATTGAGAAATAGGAGTTTATAAATTGTGGATGCACTCTCAACGGTGCTATAATAATTCCTACGAGAAATCACAATTGAAAGAACGCAGGAAGAATATCCCGATCGTGTGGCAGACTCAATCATTTGATATCTGTCCTATAATTATGACTATCTGTAACTCTAGGCCGAAGACCGGTCTGATGCATAGTTTTGAACTCTCCATAGGCATTGACGAACCACAAGACCAGATGTATGTCACAAT